GGGGGGGGGGCACCTTGTTCCTCCCGCCGAGGGTGCTCACCTATGAGATTAATTGTCTTTCGAGTTTGCGATTTCTGAGCCACGCTGGGTTTTTTCTGCCTCCAGTTTTCAGTGAGATATTGAAACTCGACGCCACCTTTTGGGGTCACATCCGCTTGGCTCGGCGTTTAACTTGACAGCTAGCTAAAACCATGGCTCTGCGAAAAAAAAAAAATATTTTTTACACATGTATCATCCAGTCGAACTGGACAGAAGGAAAGAGATGCGTTCGATATGTTCTTGACACTCCCAAGCTTTGGCTTGCGTAGCGAACCCTTTCAGGCGCAGCGGTCACTACAGTGGACAGTTTATCATTATTGGTGCATGAAAGGTTTTTTTTTTTTTTTTTTAAGTGCCATTTTTATGGTAGCATTTTTAGCGCGGACAAAATTAGTGTTATAATCGCATCAAAGTCCAACCAAGACTCTTAAAAAGCATCTTAATGAAGGAATCTGTTGACGCATTTCAAGGTGGATAGAGAGGATGAGTACAAGCGCCGAATTTAATCTCAGCCTAGTAGCTCATCCAGGTCTGTTTTTTTTCTTTTTTGATCTGATTTCAAATTCTCCCTTTTACGAGAAATATTGGTTGTTTGCCAGTTTTGATGACTTTCATCCACTGTCTCGCGATTCGGCTCGTATGTCGCCGACCTTATTTTCAGTGACATCGTCGTTTTCTTGTGTCTCTTGTGGGTTCTTTTTAACTTGAATGCGACGTTTTTCCACCGATGTCGAATCGGAATTTGGATCTGCTGGCTTGATGATGATTCCGTGACATAGTTTCACCGTTCTGAATGTGACACTCCCTGACATGGTTGCTCATTGAGCTCAAGTGAAAATGCATCGCTAGCTTGAGTGTATTGATCATCCCGTTCTTTTGAATGTTTTCGTGCCTCCTTGGGCCTCGCCGCGTTGCTCTCCACCGCCACAACGTGCGTGCTGCGCCTCATGTTGACGTGTCGTCCGGCTTTCACTCTTGTCTCCTTCTCTTTCTCGTCCTGCCTTCCAAAAGCAACATTTACCTTGGCGCCGCGCCAGCCCATTCGAGAAGCGCCTGGATTTCCGCACCCGTCATTCTCGTGCTTGACACGCGACACGCCGCAAACAAACCTGCCTTGTTTTGTTTCCGTTCAGCATCGCCGTACCTTCGCCTCGCGTGCCGTTCTCGCCCCCCCGCGCCAGAGTTTGTGTCTCGTGTGCTATTGTCTTGTTTTGCCCCCCGCCCACCCCGTTCAGTTTCTTTTCTGACACATCCTGTCCTGCTCGCCACACCTGACTAAGCTACTAATTACAACTGCTGACATGAGCCACCATGTAATTTAGAATCCGCTCCTGCGTCTCACTGTTTGGCTCTTTCTCCTCGCCTTGGGTCATCTCATTCATCACCTTCTGTTTATCTCCCCTCCTCTTCCTCTCTGAGGCTTCCATATCCCCAATCTCGTTCGCCTGCCTTGAATACGCGCGCGCATTGTGTGAGCCGTCCACGTATGGATTTGTGTGTTCATAGTACCTTGTGTGCTAGCTCGAGGAGGTCGCCGCGATGACTTGATGTCTGATGATAAGCGGCTTTGTAGCGACGTGACAAACCTTTACTTGTACTCCTGTACATCCGAGTGTACACACCAACAACTATTTGAATCCCTCAAAAAAAAAAAACGCTGTCCACTTGATGTGACACATTTAGCAGTTAGCTGCTACAAATAGCGGCTAAAGCTAACAATAATACCTCCCTGCCTCACAGGCTTCATTATCCGCTGTTTCTTCCACTTACTCATTGTCGCGGCGAGCATCAGTCAAGTCAGGACGCAGCATTGCATTACCAGTTATTTTTTTTATGCTAGCTGAGCAGGCCCAATAAGTTACGCCGAGAGTGCGCGAGACTGTTTGGATGCTAATGCTAGTCAAGGAAGTGTAAGCAAAAGTTTACAATGTCTTTGTGTACTATAGTAAGTTTTGGATGTTTCCCCTTTTATTTAGCTCGGTGTGTTGTCACGCTGCAGAGCTAGCTTAACTCTCATTCCAATGAATGACTTTGTACCTGCCTAAGGTCATTTCTCGTCTCTGGGATTGAAGGTGACCAATCCTATCCTGGTCATCTCCCCTCGAGGGAGGAAACCGCTCATCTTCACCGGGAAGGTTTGGTGCCAGAGCTCAGTTTTATAACCCATGAAATAGTTAACACAGGCCGTCTTTGACTTTTATGGCTGACTCAAGGAAAAATAGTCCGCATGAATTCCCGCAGACCCCCCCCCCCCCCCCCCTCCCTTGCACCTTTCGATCACCTGAAGGGATTTCACAGATTTTTTTTTTCCCCTCAGGTTGCAGTCAGAGTATGTACATTTCTTCCACTCACGCTTCAAACCGAGAAGCGTCCTTCCTGCCCTCCGAATTATCGCGAAGCATTTATTTTGTGCTTCCTACGGCTCGGAGATACAGTGCTTGTCCAATAGTAGCTTCACCCGAGCATGCAAGCGGTGGCCTGACATTTAGTTCCATTTCGAGGCACCAAAACATCCAACAGCACCACCCACCTGGATGTCCACCAAGTGTGTTTCCTCCACCCACAGATGATCTCCTGTTGACAGGTTATTATCGTAGTTTCGAGGCTAAGAGGAATGTCGCTGCGCTACACACACAGAAACACACACATATACAAGCGCGCATATGCAGCTTGAAATGTTATCCACACCACCCACAGAGAGGAAATTAAAAAAAAAAAACAAAGACAGTCATAGTGCAAAAGTGACGCCTTAATTCGCGCTTTAAATGTCATCTTTTTAGTGGACTTGAGTCTGCCGGTTTAACTCCCATTCATCACTTATGATAATTTACTTCTTAGCTTTCCCTTGAGTCTTAATTTGTCATCTTGCAAAGAATTCGAGACCAGTTGATGCTCGCCAATATCTCACAAGGCCTTTTTGTGTTCCATCTTGACCAAAAATCATATCCATATTCCTTTATGGTTTGTGATTGTCATTCCTTCCCTTTTTTTTTTTGTTTTAAATTTATTATTATGATTAGTGTTATTATTATTTTTAATTTACAGTTGAGCTGTGACTAATTTCATGCTTGGATCAAAACGGCTTTGTCACATTGCCAGTAAGCAAGTCTGCAGTCTGTTCTCACCAGAAATAAAGAAAAAATAGGCCTTCATATTATTAGTTTTATATCAAATGCATAGAGATCGATTTTCCCCCTTCTGCTTCGAAATGTTTTTTTTCTTCTCTCATAGACAGCTCTCTGGTCTTCATGTTTGCTTAGGGGCTAAATGTCATTTTCATACACACCAACAACCATTCACACTCACATTCAAACGTCAGGACAAATTCCAGCTCACAAATCAATATCGGGGTAATATTATATAATCTCTCTTTTATTTCTTTTTTTTTTTTTTACTGCAGAGACTGCAAAGTCAAACAGTGAGTGTGACCCAGCCGTCCGTGATTTGCTCCCGGTCCGCCGTTTGATGATAGCTCGCCCACATGGCTACTTCCTGCCGCCGTTTGTTTCGAAGAGGCAACGTTGCCGCGATGTCATTTTGTTTTGTTGAGCAAGAGGACGAGAGGAGAACAATGCGGTTGTGATTCAAGGCTTTAACTGCTTCAGGAATGAGAGTGTGTTGTAAACGGGGGAACTTTGAAGGCGCCCGGTGACAACATGGATGACATCATCAGGTGCCACAGTGTCTGTCTGTGACATTTTTTTTTTTTTTTTTACGCAATCACGCACTCTCTCCCTCTTCTCTAGAGAGCAGTCAGACGGCACTGCCCTCCACCTGTCTCCATGTCTTACCTGCCCTAGTCATTAACAGGGTCCTGGAGCCCCACTGTAAGTGCACATGTCAACAGCCAAATTACAGGGCACACCTTGCCCACACATATTTGTTTTGCTGTTAAAAGGGTAATATCCGTCTGCACGCAAAAGCTTTACACTCACTCCGCTCACTGCCCGGTCCACCTTTTTTTCTTTTTTTTTTTAACCCTCCACAAAGTGAGGTTCAAAGATCGAGGGGAAAAGAGATGATGACATCAGGGGGTCTTCTTTTGTACTCTTAGCTCACGTTACAAAGCCCGAAGACAGTGTTTTGTTCCTCGCTGCTGTATAAAATGACATTTGGATGAAAGCTTCATTCAATAATTTTCAATATGAACATTTTTTCTTCCCCGATCAGCTGCTGGAACAGATCATAGTCTTTTACTTTTCTCGTGGGGTTGCACGTCGGGTCAATTTTGAACAAGGACATTCTGTATGTTATAAATCGTCAGCCTCCAAAAATAATGGTCCTATTTTGATGGAAAAAATAATTTTAGACATCTCCTAAGTGTGCTGGCCACCTCGGTTAAAAACGGGCTGCATCCTTAGCCAGGCAGACAACAAAAGTCAGACAAAAAAAATCGATATAATCTCATTTCATTTGGTTCAGTTTTTTTTTGTTTTTTAGGAAGATGACAAAATTCTGTTTCATGTGTTGAATGGTTTAATGCACCGGAGTCAAACTCAAGGCCTGGGGGCCAGATGCGGCCCGCCGCATCATTTTATGTGGCCCGCCAAAGCAAGCCATGTCAACAACTTTCTTGATCCTTGCTAAAATCTCTACCGAAATGTCATGAATAATGTTGAGATTTTGCGCTAATTTTGTTCCCCCGTTTAGACTCACTTGAACAAACAACAAACAAAATAGTTGACTGATTTCAAAACTAGTCATCCATCGGCTTGTTGTGTACAAGTAATAATACGATGTGATGATGAAACATTTATTCGCTTTCACTATCGTAACGAGCCTCCAAGAGATGACGTAACTCTGACGTGGCCCACCACAAAAATGTGTTTGACATCACGGGTTTAATGAGTCCTCTTGTTGTTGGGTCGCTGTTAGATTGTCAGTCCACAAAAGTGGAAAAAAAACAATGCACTGTGCGGCGCTCCCTATGTTTGTCAGTTAGCCGTCTACTTCCTGGTTGACGATGACGAAATACCTGAGAAGTGAACGGTTTCATTTTGATCTGGCAATATAGGCCTCGCTTTGCGGCAAAGTTCCGTACTAATGGCAGCTACCATGAGTGTTTTGGGGTGAAGAGGGCGGTGCGGAACAGCCCGATAGGTATGACTGATAGCATGAAAAGGCAACAACCACAAGTCACCACAAATGTGTCATTAATACGCAATGCCGGTAACGAACAAATAGCAATCCAAACGACACCTCTCACCCATCAAGAGATACTTAACAGAAGCCAAATGTGACTGCGGCTACGTTTTGACCTCTCACTGTACATTTGAATACATTCCCAAATGAGGACAAACAAATGCCCGCAATGACAGTTTTGCGTGGGCAGCCCGGCTGGTTTGACGAGTAGGAAAACATGGTGCCGCCATAGCGCAAGATACAAATCGCTTTTTTTTTTTCTCAACCATGACGTCTTTTGAATGCAAGTGTAAATATCAGTGATGCATGTGGCCCACATCTGTAAGTAACAGTTGTTGTTTTTTTGCGCAGACTGTCCTTTTATTCTGGCATCTTTCAGCGGTCCGCCGTTGAGTCACGCGAGTGTCTTCCTTTCAACATTATCGGCGCAAACAATGACAAACTTCCCTTCCACTCTGACTAATTGGCAGGTTCTTCTTGTAGCTCTCGTAATGTTTTTCTTCTGACGTATGACCGGAGTGGTACAGTTGCATTACTTCATGGGTTTCATCGCTTTTCATTAGCAACATTACCAAGAAACTCGATCTCGTAATCCTGTTTCCACAAAACTTTTGTCGGCGTTTGAGGCCGGCAGCATTTGACAGCTTTATATTGGGACACCTTGCATTACATTATTTGTCTGTGAATTGTATGTACATTGTATGTTTTGATCTCAAAATATGTCCAGCTCACATATTATTTCTGTATGAAAATGTTTAGAGATTATTTTTACTGGACACATCGCAAGTTTGCAACTCTTCTTATTAGGCAAAATGTGAAGCTTTGCTCCCAAAGCCCAATTCACAATTGGCTTTGATTTAGTTTCCCTGGCAACTGGAGCCCAATGGCTTTGCCGCCCTCGGTTAATAACAGCCCAATGAGACAAACAGGCAGGAAGCCGTCCTCTGTGATCTCGGCACCTAAAAGCATCCTCGAGCATTGTTGTGTCGCCTTGGCATCCCCCTCAGAAAACTATTATTATTATTAGGATAAAAGGACAACTTAAAATAGGTTTTTAGCCGAGGTTGTGTCATTTGTGCTTATGTCGTACAATGGACAGCGTTTAAATGGTATTTTGTTTGCATTGTTGACTATTTTCCCTGGAAGAGGTATGCAAATCATTCTGGTTCTCTATGGAATGTTTTATCAGTCCACAGTACTTCCTACTCTTCGGCAGCCCAGTGCATTTTATATTTAATACAGAGTACTGATTCGATCACTTGATACAGTCCTGTTTTGGGGATTAGTTAATTTTTTCCCGGATGTTCTTCCAACTTCCTGTTCCTATTGCCTGTTGTTGTTATATCTGCTTCTAGGGCCCTATGAATTCTGCCCAGCAACAAATGGTCATCCTACGCTAGCCACCTAGACTTAGTCTAAGCAGATGTATGGTTTTGATCAACTTTCCGCCTCTAGGACACTGCGACTTGGCATTTTTTTGTACCAAATTGCACTAAATTCAAATGGAGTGAACATATGAAGGTAACCTCGTGATGACCCCTCCTTTTTTTTTTTTTTTTGTACCAAATTGCACTAAATTCGAATGGCGTGAGCATATGAAGGTAACCTCGTGATGACCCCTTGCCCACAAACACAACTGGTGGTCGTCCTTCTTCATCCGCTACCACTGAGACAGGTGCTTCCTCCTGTGATGAGGAGTGGGGGCGAGGGGGTTGAACGTCCCATCATTGTAGACGCCGGATAATGGCGTTAAAAAAACCAAGGGAGGAGGAGCTTTAATTCATACGCCTCCGGCTCATGTCAAAAGATGCTTCAATACCCCCCCCCCACTTACTCACCGAATGAAACTGAGGTCAATTTTTTTTTCAATGCAAACCCACTCATTCAAAGTGTCAGTGTTTGTCTCTCCCTTGTGAGAGGACAATCGTTTCCGTGACCCATATCCGACAGAGGGAAAACATCCTCTTTGCATTGTGGGGTATTCCTGATTTGAAGTTAGGGGAAGAAGAATAGAATTGGGTGGAGGCCAGGTCCAACGTTTGTCCCGTTAACACCCATCAACCTTCCCTCCCCAATTTTTAATTTCATCTCCAATAAAACAGGACCGAAAAACATTCACGCGCGACCCTCATCTTGCAACTGTGCCTCACTTTCGCTTCGCATACTTCTAGACGACACAGACGAAAGCTTTTCTTTTGAAATATGACGCGTGTGATGCTAAATCTGAAAGTGAAGGACTGTGCGGAATGTCCCGGACGACATCTGACTGTCTGATCAGCTGCGGCATCCAAATAATGTGCTCCATTTTTTTTTTACTGGCGAGACAGCGCCATTCTATTAAAAACCTGTTTCCAGGATCTTATCAATAGAGCCGTGAAGAAAGTCGATAAGTCGCGGTGTTGAAACCACTGTATAATTGTGGCTGACAACGATACACCGAGTTAAAAGCTAATTTGGAACAATGACTCCGTTTTATTTTAGCTTCAGGCCCCCGACTTGTTTCCTCAAGGCCTCGAGTTGTGTGTCGCTTCATTTTTGCCTTATCTGCATGCTATCGCTCTTGTGCAAGAATAGGCGCCATTGATAATTATAGCCAAATCAAGATTGATTGATCAAGTCAGGCGAGGAAGGAAAGGACGGAAGGGAGGGGGGGGCGAAGACTAGCAGAAAGAAAGAGGAGGGAAAGGTTGAGGTCTCTCCTTCTCTGTCACGTAGATAAGAGTTGATGATGGAGATTCCCGGTGGACCCACATAGCCTTTAGCTAGAGGTGCAAAGGTCAACATTTACAACTGCACTGTTCACACTATATGCACTCACGGGAAACGGTTTAGAATAAACAATACATGCAGGAAAATAAGACCTGGCAGAGAAATAGCAGGGATGGCCAAGTATCAATATTAGCTATCGGCATCGGGCCGTTATCATCCTTAATTCGAGGTATCAGGAATCGCGAAGGATGCCGATACCAGTCACCGATACTTGAAAATATCTGACATCGAGTAAGTCTTCCTTGTCAGTAATTGGCACTATGCTGTGGCCACTTGGCACATGTGCGTCAAAAAGACAGAAAAGTTTTACAAAATATATTTTGATGTATCATAAGTACTAGTGATGTTTTGTATCAAGAATGAATACATGTACTGGTATTGGTCTCGGAGGAAAAAAATGGTACAGAACATCCCAAATATACAGCAAATACTGTTTCAGAAAATCAAAAGCCAAATGTTGACACAATGTAAATACTGATTGATTATTTTCAATGTTGTTTTGCAATTCTAATTCAAAGACATGTTTGTGTTTGAAAGAAAATCATATTTTACTAATATACCAAATGTAGCTACACAACCCCGTTTGATATTAAATTGAAGAATGGTGATAAATTTGTCTTTTTATGCATTCTCATTCACTTCTTACAGTCCGGTGTCTCATGGTCGGGCTCATCAGTGAACATTAGTGCAGAAGTCAGACGACTCCCCCTGAACTGGTTGCCAGTCAGCCGCAAGGCACAAACTTTAAAATCACCAAACTTTTGAAATTATTCTCACACTGTTTAATACATTAAGGTCACCGTTGACTATTGTTGACTCATCTGTGTGGTATAAAATCATTTTTCCTCCAAATTGGCAGACGGAACCTATTTTTCGAGGGTTGAACCGCATTGTTACTGTGGCAATCTTCCTCCTCGTCACTGGGGGCGCTCTAACATTTCCGCAGATCCAACGCACCTCTTGACATAGTGGTCGTTGGCGGCCGTGTGGTAGCGAATCTTCTAGCGTTTCTACGGAGACAATTTATTTTGTATTTGTGTATTTGTTTGTGTGCGCGCGCGTGTGAGTGTATCAAGTTAATGTTCTCCGTCTTCCATAGAGCCATATACAAATATCCACTTCGGGCACAGGGGCATTTATTATTTTTCTTACGCGATCAACGAAAACTGGCGTCCAGAATGGCTTTTCAGTACCCCGCCGCTTATCGTGACGATGCAGTCGTAAGTATTGTTTGTTAGCACGATAAGCTTTAACGTGCTAATCAACCGGGCTGCTGTCATTGTGCTCTTTCATTCGTTGGGGAGAACGGTTTCTTTTGTTAGCATGCTAGTTAGCTTAGCGGGGTTTACGACACTGACTCCAATGAGCGCACTCCTTATTTTTGGATGAATCACGGACCGACCGTTCCTTGCTCATTCTGACGACGTGATCACGTGAAAGTCTGACAAGTTGTGTTTATGTATCATAGGTGGATGATTATCATGGCTACAAAATACCAGATCCATACAGTTGGCTGGAGGACCCCGACAGCGAAAAGACGCAGGTAATCAAACGCGAGAAGATTGTTTCGAAAGCAAATACGTCACTGCTGTCCAGTGTCTGACAAAATATGAACCATCGTAAATTGTTTGGATGATCTAAATGTCATACGCAGTATGATTACACCTGTTTGACTCTTCCAATTGACCAGAAAGTTGTTTCCGATCATTTCAAATCAAAACCAATTTGATTTCATAGGCGTTTGTCAGTGCTCAGAATCAACTCACGTTGCCATTTTTGGAGCGCTGTGAGGTGCGGGATCTGTTCAAGGAGCGCATGACTGAGCTGTACGACTATCCCAAGTATAGCTGTCCCTTCAAAAGGGGAAACAGGTAAGGCTAATAATAATAATTGCTCATTTCGTCTTAATTGTATGACAAGTCAATGGTTATCATGTTCTGATGTCCATCTGTCCTCATCTCCAGGTACTTTCACTTCTACAACACTGGCCTCCAGAACCAGAGTGTGATGTACGTGCAGGAGAGCCTGGATGCAGAGCCTTCTGTCTTTTTAGATCCCAACACGTTTTCCGACGACGGGACAGTTGCCTTGCGAGGTCATCACTAAGACTTAATGACTTCACGTTGAATTCTGAACAGACAAATTCACAAAGATTTTGTCTCCTCGCGAAGGCTACGCGTTCTCCGAAGATGGAGAGTACTTGGCGTACGGTACCAGTGCCAGCGGCTCGGATTGGGTGGAGATGCACTTCCTGCGAGTGGAAGGTGCCGTGCGACTGGAGGACCGTCTGGAGCGGGTCAAGTTTAGCTGTATGTCATGGACGCATGATGGGAAAGGCCTTTTCTACAACTCGTACCCCGAGCAGGAAGGCAAGAGCGATGGTGAGGTCAAAAGATGAGGTCAATCTGTCCTTTTTCCTTCAGTAGTGGACTCAACTGCGGTAAATGTTGTGCCCTTTTGAACAAGTGTTCCAAGTTAATCTATCTTCTTTCTGCAACTAATTCGCACGGTTGAAAATAAACCTCTTCTTTTCAAGGCACCGAGACCTCGACTAACTTAGACCAGAAGCTCTACTTCCACGTTTTGGGAACCCCGCAGTCTGACGACGTGCTGTGCGCTGAGTTTCCCGATCACCCCAAGTGGATGAGTGGAGCCGAGGTCATTTCTCCCCCAAATGAGGCTGAACTCGTTTTTTTTTTTTTTTTTTGCTTCGTCATTTCTACTCGCTGAGAGGGTGACAAATGTCATGACCGTGTAGGTTTCAGATGATGGCCGCTATGTGCTGCTGTCCATCAGGGAAGGTTGTGACCCTGTCAACAGACTGTGGTATTGCGACCTCAAGAAGACCCCTCAGGGCATTGCAGGCATGTTTGACAGGACTCTCTGATCATTGTATGGATCTGCGTTCTCAATGTGGGCTTGCCCTTCTTAATTATCAATGTACCCATTGACAGTTTTTCTTTTGATCATGTGGTCACGTGTTCCAAGTTTGCCTTCGTTTCACTCTGCAAATCCAGGACTTTTGCCTTGGGTGAAGCTCATCGACAACTTTGACGCCGAGTACGAGTACGTAACCAACGAGGGCACGGTGTTCACGTTCAAGACCAATCTGGAGGCCCCCCGTTACCGCCTCATCAACATTGACTTTGCCTCGCCGGCGCAGAGCGACTGGACAGAGTTGATCCCTCAGCATGACAAGGACGTCATTGGTGAGCAGCAGCGGCGTGCTTGAATCCTCAGGATGCGCTTATTTTGTTCATCTCATACACCTCGCGCTGTCTTCACGCTCAACAGTATTCGCCACCTGCACGTACTCCAGCTACCTGTTTGTGTGCTTCCTCCACGACGTGAAGAACGTCTTGAAAATGTATCGTCTCAGTTCCGGGGAGGAGCTCCGAACTTTTCCTCTGGATGTCGGCTCCGTGGTCGGATTCACGGGAAGGAAGCGCGACTCGGAGATCTTTTACTATTTTACCTCCTTCCTCTCGCCAGGTAAAGTGTGACTAGATTCAACTCTGAAGACTTTGTGTGACTTTGGGCGGGGGGTGTTTTTCAATTTTACATATTTTCTTATCTCCTAAAGAAGGGTAAGAATGTCATTCTGAAGTCATTTTTGATTTAATCATTGGGAACATGTCCAGCCTGTTGAGGAATGAAATGCCGTGCGCCCTCTACTGGTAGCTTTTTTTTTTTTTTTTTTTTTTTAATCCAGCCATCATTTATCACTGCGACTTGACCAAGGAGCCTCTGCAACCGCATGTCTTCAGAGAGGTCACAGTCAAAGGCTTTGACCCGTCCGACTACCAGACCACCCAGGTAACATCAATTTCAATCTCCCCGTTCATCTTTTTCCCATCTGGTCATCATCTCCCCGCTCCTCGTCCAGATCTTCTACGCTTCCAAGGACGGCACTCAGATCCCCATGTTCATCGTTCACAAAAAGGGCATCAAGCTGGACGGCTCCCACCCGGGCTTCCTCTACGGCTACGGCGGCTTCAACATCTCCATCACGCCCAGCTACAGCGTCTCGCGGCTCATCTTTGTGCGACACCTGGGCGGAGTCCTGGCCGTCGCCAACATTCGGGGGGGTGGGGAGTACGGCGAGACCTGGCACAAAGGTGACGAGTGTCGAGGGGGCGCCGCGTTGTTCTCGGGACGCAAATTCCGCAGGGAATGGATGGAATGAAGTGACGATTTCCAGAAATGAGTGTGTTTCCACTTAAGTGTGAAGCTTGTCCTCCTTTTAGCTGGCATGCTGGCCAACAAGCAGAACTGCTTCACGGACTTCCAATGTGCGGCCGAGTACCTCATCAAAGAGGGGTACACCTCTCCGTCCAAGCTCACCATCAACGGAGGCTCAAACGGCGGCTTGCTCGTAGGTACGCGTCAACCCAAGATGGTAACAAAACAACGTGCTCCATTTTTTGCCACGTCAGACCATAATGTTTTTTTTTTCCCCCCTTCCTATGCAGCGGCGTGCGTGAACCAGCGGCCAGAGTTGTTTGGCTGCGCCGTGGCTCAGGTGGGGGTCATGGACATGCTCAAATTTCACAAATTCACCATCGGCCACGCCTGGACCACCGACTTTGGCTGCTCGGAAGAAAAAGACCAGTTCGAATGGCTCATCAAGTGAGTGAAAACGTGCGATCGCGTTTATAATTCTCCGCTTTATTTACCATGGAGCTGTTTAGATGCAAATCCATCACATCTAGAATGAAAGTATTGTCCTTCATGGACAAAATATTAAGTACAAAAAACTATACGGATTTCATATTGATTCCAATGAATGCTGAGTTGCATCGGGGCATAACTTTAAAAAGCAAATACTTTGAAGGAATCAACAGCGCCTCCACTGGCTGTCGACATGTAGTGCACCCAAATCATTAAAAAAAAAAAAAAAACATTGCGCCTTGAGCAAGTCAACAAGCCCCCAAGACTTTACTTTCTTGTGATGTATTTTTGTTTATGATCACATATTTATTATCATTAATCTTTTCTTGGAAAAAAAAAATACGCCACAACTGATACCCACTCAAGCCCATGTTGAAGCACAAAAAGCATCTGTGCATTTCAGTGATGAAATATGGTTTATTTAACATGAATGCATTGTAAGATCACACGTCTGAGTTTTCGTTTGAATGTTTCATCTTTCGCTGCGGATTTGATTGGACAAGTCCAGGTTGCAAAGGGGCGGACAGACCTTTCTGGATTCCTTAAACTGACCTGCGCTCAAATGAATTGCGTTCAGTTGCTGTGCTGAAGGACTGAATGAGCGATTCTCACTGGAGGGACTGGACACCAACTGAATTTGCATCCCGTGTTGGTGTTCACCAAAACGTTTTTTTGCAATCAACTCCAGCGTGTCCTCCCAATCTCGAGAAATTGCCTTTCATGCGCCGATATTCACGACGACTTACTTGACGTACATGAAGAGACATGAGGCAACTAACCTTGATGCCTTTCCCTACACCGTTTCCACATCTTTTGGAATATGTGTCTTCCCTCCCACTCCCACCTGCCAGATACTCCCCTCTCCACAACATCCGTGTCCCAGAGGACAACGGGGTCCAGTACCCCGCCGTCCTCCTGCTGACGGGCGACCACGACGACCGGGTGGTGCCGCTCCACTCGCTCAAATACATCGCCACCCTGCAGCACACGGTGGGCCGCAGCGGCAAGCAGTCCAACCCCCTGTTCATCCTCGTGGACACAAAGTCGGGCCACGGCGCTGGCAAGCCCACCAGCAAGGTCATCCAGGAGGTGGCGGACACCTACGCCTTCATCGCTCGCTGTCTCAAAATCTCATGGGTCAAATAACGGGCGTCTCCTGTCGACGCGTGCGTGCATATTTGCCCCCAATCTATTGCCCCCCCCCCTCCCTCGAAGAACTCCTTCTGCACTTAATTGAAAGAACCACAAGCTAATGTGCAAAAAGGCCATCAGTGTGGGCGGGGTTACAATAATCATCCAATCAGTTGCTGTCATGAGGCTCGAGTGTGACAACACTTCACGTGGCGGATGCTCCGCCTGCGTATTTATTATTGATATTCTCACAAGGCTGCATCGTTCAAATGAATTTTTCTGTGTGTGTGTGTGTGTGTGTGTGTGTGTGTGTGTTT